AAAGTCCTGGGGATAATAACAAAGTGAGTGGAGGTTTGGAAGCACATATGACTGAAAAACTGTCTTAATATAGAGAAGAGATGCCTCAGAGAACACATGAAAATAGATTTCAGATACAAAAAAGACTGTTACAAGGGATAAAGGAATAAATTCTTTTCCACGTCTTTGGGGTTCGTACAAGGAATAACGGACCTAAGTTGCAGCAAATGAGTTTTAATTTAAATATGAGGAAAAATGTGTTACCTACAAAGAGATTAAATCCTAGGACGGATTTCCTGAGAAGCCTGAAGGATTGCCTGCACTGGTTTTTAAAATCAATTTAAAACCCATCTATTTAGGATGACAGAGGTAGAATTGAATCTGCAGTGGGGTGGGAGGTGGACTAGAGGACCTCTGGAGGTTTATTACAGACTAATTTGCTGTGGTTCATATTAGAGTGCATATAAATAGCTTCACATTTTATTAATCTCAGAGGGAGGTCTGACTCTGCCCTGGCTGGACACCTCTGCTTTAGGGCAAGCACTACCCAGTCAGTCCTGAAGAACCTCTTCTATTTTTTTGTCACGTGTTTTTAATCATTACTTCTAGCTTTACTTTTCATTTCATCACTGCTGCACTCAGATTGCTTGCTCATGTAAGGGGGCCACTTATTGCCTTTGGTTTTCTCCCTCCCCCTCCTGTGCCCAGAAGCCTGAGTTTCCCCTCTCTCCACTGCTATTATTCAACCTGCTGCTTTGAACAGCGCCTCTCAGAGTGCAAGTGTAAGATACTTTCCACGTCCATCAGCTTGTTGACCTCTGTTGACATCAGCTTGGAACCTCTGAATTGTGGAAACTGAGTTTGCAACTCAGTTTGCAACAGATCTGGATTTAAACCACCTGACAAATCAAGCGCAGAGAGCTACTGAAGGAAGAGACCTCTTCTTCCCCTGCAATTTACCAAAGTCACTGCTGTCGAAAATGAGGAAGATGGATTCTACTCCCCGGCCAAAACTTCTGCTCAATAGCTTAGCCTGTTGGGAAGCCAAGATCCACAACCTTTTCTGGCTTCCAGATTACTGATCAAGGTGGCCCCTAGTAAATGTTCAATGCTAAAAAAACTAAATGATGACTTTACCAATAAAGGGACTCTGCTCTGTAGAACTTGCAGATCTGCCATAATGTAAACATCTTTCCATCATAACAGAAACAGATGTCTTTCTATTAGTAATGTTGCTATGTTTGCAGGTGCCAAAAGCATCACACATACTGTTTATTCTCTGCTTGAAATAGCGATGGGCAAAACTTAAGCAGTTTGGTGAACATTTTGTTATGACTGGACGGGACCTGAACTTCCATGACCTAAGGAAACCATTAGAAAAGAGCTGTAGAAATCTACAGCTTTTGATTTGGAACTGGCAAAATCTAGAGTATTCAGACATAGAATTGTTTGTCCACTCTCAGTTACTTATCATCTAGGTTGAAGGAAGCCAGCCCACTGGAGGGACATTTTGGCACTAAAGTACTCACAGTGTCCATGAGACTCAGGGATCCAGATCCAGTTTTTCTGTTCTAATCCATTTCTAAAAATCAAGAATTAGACTATTTTTTAAGAAATGAGATTTTTTTTTGTGCAGGCTGGGAGACAAATTATCCCTATTTAGGGAACAGAGACTATGAAAAGTAGGGAAATACCGGTCGATATGTATTACGCGTTTCTAAAGAATATGTGAAGCAGAAGCCACAAGGTAGTTTTTACCTCCTCAGAAGCCACAGACATCTTATTTTGGATGAATAAAGAGTGGTCAGGGGTTTGTAAGTATAAAGGACATATCAAACCTTTGTGGAATCTTTCCTAGTAAACCACTGGAGATAGATTTTGGGTAGACAAACCGGAGTTAATTCTGACTATGTCAGAATTATTAGTCCGCCTTTTTACTGACAATTTTTTGGAGAATATATACTGAAAATGGTCAAAGGGATCATAAATTTTAGCTCCCTCTAGATTTATGTGTCATTGAGGATCTGGGAGGAAATGCAACAAAAAATTCTGCTATGAATGGGTCATAGAATATTTAATACTCTCTTCCACAGCTAATGTCTCTTGCCTCTGCAGTGGAATGATATCTCAGGAATTCTATAAGTATTGCCATGATATTTCTTGTGGCTCTCCTGGATTATCTTCTATATGATGCCACTTTGACTGCCCAGTACCATGGTTCTACCTCACATGATGAGGTGAATAGAGAAATGAAACAGAGGAGATTCAGTACATTCTCCTCTTCAGAAAAGTTTTGTTCAAGCTCCTAGTAAAGTCTCAGGTGTCCAACAGATGTCCTAATTAGCAATGGACCTCACTGAAAACTTGTAGTCTCCTGAATATGCCTGAAGCTTGTTTGTTCACTTCTGAACCACGTTATAAACGCTAGCCCTGTGTCAAAGCTGACTCTCGCATAAATCCTAGTAAGATCTAGATCCAAATGTCCATATCTCAGTTTTTATCTATCTAAAAAACATCCCATTTCAATTAGAAATCAAAGGACCGGTAATTTATATTCCTGTGCTGGGTTTTTTAATACCATCATTCTTAAAGGTTAGATATTGTAGTAATAGGAGTGTTATAACTATAGAGATATGTACTACTTAGACATCTGGAAAGAGTTAATCTCCTTCTATTGCAGGTACTGATATTCTGTGCTCATGCCACATTAGAAAAACTTAAAATAAAAGTGTACCTGGAATTAACACACTGTGCCTCCTAATGACTTACCAAGAGAGAGGTGCAAATTAATTCACTTTGTAATTGGTTTTGTCTGACATTATTTGCATGTGACTTTCCCTGATGCTGTAAGAGATGGCATCTAAAGAGCTAGGCTTTCTTATGAGACAAAGCCAAATGTTATAAGTTAATTAGTACCAAAATGTGAATGAAAGAGAGTCCACTCAGCCACGTTAGGCTGAGTGAATGAAGGAAAGAGATTTGTCATTTTGAAAGTTGCTAATTGTGCCTGTTTCTCTGTTTGGAGAAGGGAGTCTGTAGGTCTGGGCCAGTTGCCCTTGGGGACCTATCTGTTAACTCACTGTCACCTTCTCTTGAGATACCATCATCTTGTAATGCTGAGCAATAAAATTTGTAATTGTAGGTCTTTTGAAGCCCATGGCTAAAGGACACTAACACAGTTTGTTTACACTGAAGGAGCTCACAAGACAAACTTAAGTAATTAGATGAGTATAATGGTTAGGTACCGAGAATAAGCTGTGCCAAATATAAACTAGAATTTCAATGAGAATTCTGTTTATGTTTGCTTTGTGTTAAAAAAGAAGTAGTATTATAATGGTGTTTCCAAAAAGAATTTTTCAGAATTAAGAAATTATTCTCCCAAAAAGCATCAGCTCATCCTGGAATTAATTATCATTTTTACTGCAGCTACACTGCTTCTTGCGAGCTTAATTTTATTTCCATGAGCTATTTACTTTTGAGCACAGCTAGCAACAGAAACACAGAGAGGTGATCATTTATGGCATGAAGGCTGTCTGGCTAAATGCAGTCTTTATTTTAGGGAGTTTTTTTGGCTTGCTCATGCTTTGTTTCCAAAACGTACGTATAGGCTCTGATTCAAGGAAGTTACTTCTGTCCAAGTATAAATTTGCATGTGTCTTCAATGGCTCAGCTCACATACATCATACTTGGGAGTCCCTTTCTTTGCTTTCCAAAGTGAAGTCATGAAAGACTTAGGTGCACCAGTTAATCTGTGAGCATGAAGTAGCTTTGCATGACTAAAAAGCTTTCTTTGACTAAAAAGCTTTCTTTACATTTATTAAAGTCTATAGGCATGCCACGCTTTTACTTCCTGGAACTACTTTGGTTCTGATTGGGTCAAATCTCTGCAGTGCTTTGCCTTTCTGCTTCCAGATTTAGCCAGGTCAGGACCAACACCAAGTGCTTTATGTTATTTATAACACATATTGCTAAAGCAGCACAGTACCATCTTCGGTGCTTCTTTGGAGCAAAGAAATTGAGCAATGATTAGCCAGCATGATGATGCTTACTGGCATCGGGGCAGTAATTCACCACATATGAACTTGTCCAGGTTATCCAGACTTGTACAGGGCATGGCCCACTGGCTGCATCTGTATTAGTAAATTCAGCAGTGCTAGCACCTACTATATATGACTCCAAGGTTAAGTGACCCAGTTTGTCCGTGTCCATATATAATTAAACTCTCTCATGTTCCAAAGCAGGCGAGTTTCATCCAAATTCCCTCTTGGTCCTGCACTGGGCTAGCTACTCAGCAATGTCTGGGACTTGTTTGGGACTGCATTGGTTGGCTCAGAATAGGATCTTTTAAGCAAAGTAATTATGCAGACAACCAAGCTCCAGTGCCTGGGACCCTCACCATGTACTAGTACAGATGAAACCATTATATCTGTATCAGTCACAAGAGCTGCAGATAAAGCACAACACGGTGCTGAGGAGCTGCAATGGTCATACTGCACACATCGCAATTGGGTAGGCTATTTGACAGTGATGGGGACCATGTATAAAAGAGGTGACAGCAGCTATGCCACTAGCCTTTCCTTCCTGTTGTGTTCTCCAGCCCTGAGAGCTAAAATATGGATGTCCAATGTGTGAGGGCTTTAAGAGCTGGGTAGAAATGGAGAGCTCCCCCAAAACAGGGTCTGCGCTAGTGTCAGGCTTATGGAAGATCCCTGGAGGAGTCATAGGACTGGACTCAGTAAAGCTGTGTGGTCTTCTGATCTCCTCTAGAAGGATGAGTGTTTGATAGCGAACATGATGGTTTCTAGAATAAGCCATTCAACTGCATTCACCAGCAGGACAACAGCTTTCTTCAATGTGATGATTTCAAAAAAAAAATTAGTTCTGTTTTCCTTTTGGCTTACAGGGCATTTCCATAATATCATGCATAAATGCATAATTTAAACCTCTGACATTAACATTAACTTGGATATTGTTTAATGAAGCAGAGCTAATGTGTCACTCTCTGTTTTTCTTTATATTAGTCTTTACACCCTTGAGACCAAAATGCTTCCTTCGAGGATGTGCCCTTGCCCCATTGGGATGCTTGTTGCTTCCAAACAGTGATACTGATGAAACGGCTTCTGATAGCTAATGACTTTTCTGATAAAGAAACAACACCTTTGAAATATTGAGTTTAATGGCAGGTGAATAGATGGAGTCACCACTTGGTTTTGATCTGACAGAGGTATTTATGGACAGTACTGGGTGAAAGTTAAGCTGACATTTTTATGCCCATCTCCTTGGGCAGATGCTTGGTGGGACTGGATGTCCAGTTGTTCTTATTTTCTTCCAGCATCATCTACAACAGAATGAAACATTAAACACGGACACTGAAACCACTGGAAATTGCACAGTCTGTCTTCTAAAGGCCTGGAGGACGTTCAGAATTATACACCCACTGACTCCTGTTATGCTGATTATTGCTGTGATATTGCTTAGCTGCCAGCACCTAGGTGGCACATCCCCTGAATATGGTACCACCCATTGTCACCACAGAATCTGTTTGCTCTCAGCTGGCACTCACTGTAGACTCATGCGATGCATGGATGAATAAAAGGCATTTTTCTGAAGTAGACACTTGAAACTGATTGTCTGTGCTAGATGCAAGCCTTTGTTTTGTTTTTTATTTTTTTCCCTCCACAAGTGTGTGAGAACACTGTTAAAAAAAAGCCTTCTTAAAAAAGTCAGAAAATAATTTTGTCATTCATGTTTCTGTTTTAGTTTAATGTATTTGATGTTCCTATTAGTTCCACTTGGAGAGAGAAAAATGCTTTCATTCTGTATTAGTTGATTGTTTCCATCAGTTTCCCTTCCCCCTCCTCCCCATTTTTCACACCTCCTACTGTGTATGAACGCCTGCTGCACCATTTATTTTTGCAATGTGTAAACTGTTACTTCCTCCGACAAATCAGATCTGCTTAGGGTGAAATTAAAGATCTGAAGAGGTGACTGTCCTGCTGGTTTTGACGTTTTAAGATTCTAGTGCTATGCAAGAAGCAGCTGCCCTTTTCTGCCTATAGATATTTATTAAATCTCCAAAGGACTTATGAAATCAGAAATGAATTATTTTGGCATAAAAAGAAAAAGAGAGGAGTCTATTCCAGGAAATACACATTGCACTTCTTGTGAGATGAGATCTGGCAAGTAACAGGGTGAGAAATAATTAGCCTTTTTGGTGCCTCCAAGCAGTGGGCAGGAGTGCCTGGGACTTAGATTTTAGTACCAAGGTTAAAAGTCACAGCACAAACTGAGTTAAAACTGACAGATTTGTGTTCCTAAGGCAGAAATTGGAGTGTGGCCTCCTTATGCAGATCTGGGGCCCCATTCTGCAAATATCTATTCATGCGAGTTAGCGATACATCGCAGAGTAGAGCCGTCAGCCTCAATGAGAAGGAATTTGCGTGTGCGCAGGGGTTTGTAGGACTGAGTCTGTGCATTGATGCTAAAAAAGAAGGGATGATGCTACACTGCAGATTGGTGTATCAGCAATGAACAGGTTGTGACTTCTGGGATAGAAGCTGATGTGCATGTCCAGAGGTTGATTCAATGCAACACGCCCATTTTAGGATGGGGCAAGCCGTGCCACTGGCGCTCTGGATGTACCACTGGATGCAAAAGCATTCAAGGCTGCCAGGTTGGAGAAGCTGTTGTAGAAGACTAAAGATCCGAATCCTTTCCCTATGAGAAGTTCTTGGCTGGCACAGGAAGCACAGAAAGAAAGATCTTTTTTATAGAGATAACTATATCTCAAAGTAGGCTTGTGACTTTTCACTCAAACTCTGTTTTTGCCCTTTCAGGCAAAAATGTTCATAATTATTTCTGGAACTACTGGCCACTGAAAGAAAAAGAGCCATTCCCTTGACAGAACTCAGGCCAAATACACACCGTAATCACTGAAATGTTGTCCTCATCCGGCTTCCTGCTCTCCTAGCACACTGTGGTCTGTTCCAGCTGGGTTTTTTTTTTCTCAGCTCATTCTGTATCTGTATAGAGGGCCTAGGTCTAGGAAAGCAACCTGATCTGCTCACAAGGAGGTGGAAGATAGGACTGCCAGCAAGTAAAACTGGGGAACACTCCCAATCCAAGGTCTGAGCCCTAAATACCCACTCAATTTTTAGCATCTCGCACCAATAGGCTAGCTACAGAACCATTCCTACCCTTTATTCAAATTTATTCACTCTTTCTTCACTGCGATAGGTATATCTTACAACAGCATTGACTATGGCTTAGCCTCACTGGATGACATAAATGTAAAAACAACTGGATTCACTTGTAGGGATCAATTCAATGCTCTATTGCATCTTTGAAAACCTTATTATACCAGTCTCTCTTATCACTATGGTTACTGCACATCTTCTGGTTGTGTATTAAATGACGTGATTAACATCTGCTGCATGTGGTTTGTCCTGTTTTGCATCCTCTTCCAAAATGATAGAATTAAATCTGTCTAGCTGAGTGTTCTGTTTTTGATCTTTTTCTTTTAAAAGTACATGAAACGTAAGAGAGGACAGAGTGAAGAACTACAGCCTGCACTCAGGGGAGGAGAGGTGGCAGCAGTGATGGCCTTAAAACCCTATGGGAGTTTGTTTTGCCTTGAGAAAGTTCATAGCCACACTTTACTTTTGTGCTATAAAACAGCCACACCAGGGAGGAGCTTCCCAAGAGGGAAAAAGAAAAATCCTAAACCTGCCTCGTTAGACGTTCTTTATGGGTATGGCTGTGAAGCAGCTGGATGCTTGATTTCAGCTCATGTCAGCACAAGCAACCCAGCTTTAAAAAATCTAGCCCAAAATGCTTGTAGATTCCAGGTAAAGATTTGGGCACCTAGCCCAGATTCAGCGCTTGGCAGCCGGACACCCAGGAAAGCTAGCCAGCGCCAGGGCAGGTAGCTCCACGGGAGCTATGACCCCTCTTGAGGTTGTAGGGTCACCTCTACCTCACCTGTAGATAGGCTGGGGCCAGGTTGCTGCCCCTCTTGGATAGCATGACCAAGGCAGCAAGCTTGACTGCATCCAAAATAGCAACCTGTTCTCTGAATATGGGGCCGGGGGTATGATCTGCATGACACTGTTAATCTTCCTTCTGCTTGGAGACAGAGTGACTGCACGCAAATTGCAGCCCTGACCTGTTTTAACATCCGAACAATGCCAGGGGTCTGTTTCTGTTTAATTTACCACTGTGGACATACCCTATGAGAACACAGCACAGTGAAGGGAAACCTCTCTTTCCTTAGGCCTCATGCTTTTTCTACTCGTTTGACAGCAGCATCTCTGTAACTTTATACACAGGCTACTCTTGCTGACCTCAGAGGCAGCTTTTGCAAGAATGAGTTTATGCAACTTATTTTGATGATGTCAGAACTAAGGCCTTAAATCTTTATGGGCCTTCTTAAACTGCTTAAGGCTTACCAGGAAAACAGCAAAGGTGAAACAAAGTGCTATATTAAAATCTCCTACGAGAAGAGAAAATAACATTTCTTTATTCAGCTCTGAGCTGGATTTGCCTTTTTAACTCAATGATGCTCTAAGTTCAGCATGCTGCTTTCAAGCAAGAGGTGCTATGGATGCAGGCTTGCTCAGGTTGGGACCTGGGTAAGTGTGCTTTCCTGCAAAGAGAATAATTATATGCTCCCAAACTCACAGAAGCATCAGAATTCACAGCATGCTTTTTACAAGGGTAATAAAGTTTTATACGCATATACAGAGAAACAGTTTGCAGCAAAATACTTAATGCACCCAATTATCCCCCAAAATAAATGGATGGGAAAGAAAGTAGCTGAATTTGCTCAGGCTTAATTATTTTACATTTGAACCTCTCTATTTGTAGCAGTGAAGTCCCATTCTACTACCCATTTCATGGTACTTTATTTGCTCTGGACTCTTGTAACTGCACCCTTAGTGTTTAGGAGACTGCCCAACGTCAGTGTGAAGAATGTGGCAAAGGCTTGACATCAATTACAACATTACACACAACATAAAATTTAATGGCTTGAATCAGCCTTTCATTGCTATTTAAAGCAACTGTGTATGGCTTTTTTTAAGATCCTAAAAATTAATCAGCTTCTAAAAGGTCTAAATTTTTCAACAGCACAGAATCTTACCCTGAGGTTTTTAAAATGTTATTTCAGTTCTGTTGTATAACTGGGGGGAAGTTTTGATAGGTAAATGTATTTTTTAACGTAAAAATGAAATTGATCTCCTGGGTAAATAAAACTCTCTGGGGCACATTAAAAGAAATAAAGTAGATCGGATTCTCCACTGACTTGCACTCTTTGAAACTCCTTTGAGAGGACATAAGGCAAGGCAGTGAGGCTGCTGAGGTGAAACTTGGGGAAGAATTTGGCCCACAGCGTTTTATGTTTGCTCTCAAATAAATGGGAATCGCATTGAGGACTTGGGTGGCTTGGTGATAAAGTGCTGGTTTCCCACCTTTGTGGCTTGAGTCAAAATTTACGTGGAGGCCTCAGCTTTGTCTCTCATCGACATGTGATCATCTCATAAAACACCAGTTTCTGCTTAGCGGAGGCCCAGTCAAAGCAGGAGCGGAGCCCGAATTACCTCTTGCCTCCTGTAAGGGTGGTCCCTGCAGGTCAGTGTGGAGGTCGCTCGAAGGGCAGCACAAGGAAGCCTGCTTGTCCCACAGCTGCAAATCCTGGGCTGTGGATAAATAAAAGGCTCAGTTTCTAATTTTTTAGCTAAATAATCAGACAAAACTTGGAAAAAGAGACCCTGAAACTGTTCAGGAAAGAAAAAAAAAAAAAAGGGAGAGACCTCAGCAGATCTGTAGACATGTTTTTTTCTCAATGCACTAGAGTATAATTAAAAAGTTGCTTTGGTGTAGAGTGAAATAGTTTCGCACAAACCTTGACCATCTCACCTTTAATAAGGGGATGGTGGGGAGAAATATGTAACTGTTACATCATGAATGTTTCACTGATTTTTATTTACAATACATAAAATTTTACTTTTCTGGGCTGCTGCTGTCTGCCAGGAGTAGTTTGGATTGGATGGGCAAGGATGTTTAGTGAGTTTTACTTCACACTGTATGAACACCGGTGTTGTTTTTTTGGAAATATTTTTTTCCAGCTGAAGTCTAACTGTAACCATGACCTAGGTCACAAAGGTTTCCTGGAGGGGCTGTGAAATTTTCCATAGAATCTGATCTTTACGTTGTTAATTCCCAGTTTAAAATGTTTCTCATTTTAAATATAGCATTTTGCCTTATCAGCACTGGAAACCACATATTGCATTTATTGACTATATGTATATAGATAGGTAGCAGCGGACCTTAGCTTGGAAAGTTCAGGACATCCCAGCAAGTGTTGGGCAATTTATGCAAGGGCTAGTTGTAACTGCATGAACTTAGTTGGATGCTTTTTCCTCACAAAAGCTGGGCATCTTCTGTTTTTCCCATCCCAGTCTTGCAGGGAGCGAGTTTGGTTATGGAGCACAGCATGCCTCCTCTTTTGAAGAGCTGAGCTGAAGGAGACAACCTGATCTCCTTGTGATCCAGTAGGTGGACTTAGGGGTCATTCTCCAAAGCAGCCAGCACTGCCTATTGTTGCACCCAGGGAAAATGGTGAGGAATAATTCAAAATCTGTTAGATCTCAGGAAAAATGTGTACTTCTTTCTTTCTGCAAAGTCTTTAAAAAAATCTGATTCCTAGTCCGATGTCGGTAGTAAGCCTACACCTGCTGAAACTGAAGACCGAAGTTGCCTCTAATGTCCATGTTGTGATCCGATATGCAGTATGATGAAATTCTTCCACAAAAAAAAAACATCAAAAAAGAGAAACTGTACTTGAACTTTGAGGGAGCAAAACATTCCAGAGGAAAAATCAAACATTGGCCATAATGTTATTCAGAAATTACACTAGCTGGTCTTTATCTAGTGCAAGTTTGGAACGCAGTAAAAATGAGTGTGTAACTACCCATTTTATAATGTAAATAATCTCCTAAGAATTTATTAGAAAACAAAATCACATTATGTCAGTGGTTTTAAAATCCTAAAATTTCTGTTTATTTGAATAGTCAAGAAATACTTAAATAAAAGCATTATCTCATGTTGGACAGCAAAGTTTTCGAACCACAGCATGTACACATTTAACAGCCCCCAACAATTCAGCCACACAGAGCATAAAACCCCCTAATCAATGCCATTTTTACATAAAAAAACCCCCTATGTTTCCCGTCATAAAATATTACAGTGTTTACACAAAGGCTGCAGCTAACCTCATAAAACTCTATTGATTTCCCAGTAGGGTCCTCAGAGGACACTTGGCTGTGCTAGATGACACACTGATTTCTAGCACCAAAATAACACTGAAATCAGTGTTATTTGGAGACTAGATGCGTAGGGTTGCTTTTATCAGGTGGGCATTCTGACGAGCTCACACTGAATTCCTTATTCAAAGAGAGAGCTGCCTCCTAAAAACTTCACCTCTAGTGCTCTTTTTAAGAATGTAGACAAAAGCAGTGGTAACAAATCACCAAAAACTGGAAATTTCTAGTTTTTGCTCTGAGTTTTCTTTGGTGATGAGGGAAATTTTTTCCTTTAAAAAGGATGCCTCTGGTAGAGCGTTAATCAATAGCTACAATAAATAGTCCCACTCTAAGAGCAGCTAAAGAAGATCATCTGGAAAAAAGAAAATTAGCAGAAGGAAAATAAAAAAGGGAAAAATAAAATTAACAGAAAAGCTCCCTCTGACTTAAATTAACTTTAAATGAGGCATATACTGAGAATTTGTATCTATAAAAAGTTTTTTACATCAACCAATTAAGCGAATTTTTTTCCAAAGACAACAGACATACCATATTTTCAGAGTTACGTCAAATGATTTTCATATAACAGTCAACATCAAATGTTTGCCTTTTCCACGGGGTAAGTAAAATGAAATGATGTGAATAAAAAATAAAAATATCACCAAATTCTCTATTGTGGCTTAAAACGCTATATAAGATTTAAACTCTTATACAAACTGAAGACTTTCAGTAAAAATTCTTTGTCTTAAAAGAAAAAGAGGGGGAAAAAAGAAACAATTAAAGTTTTCTGTCTGTTCTTGAATCTTAAATTCCAGTACATTAAATGAACTGAGCAAATTGAATCCTTTCTAGGTAGATTGTCACACCAACTCCAAGTAGATTTTGTTGCAAGAAAAGCATACCCCCCCACTCCTATTATATACTTAAAAACATTTCATAATAGTGTCTAAATGATAAAGGAACAGATCCTGCTCTTTCCAGCCAGCAGGAGCTGGGGGAATGCCTTCTAGGGGATAGGGTCTCGTTCCCCAAGATCAGAGACTGCAAGATCAAATGCACTGACAGTCAGAACAAATTGTGCCATGTCACAGGTTTTAATTTTAAGGCAACTCATTGCAAAGAGAC